ACTCTTACAGTCAATTACAATGTATGCTTTGAGTTTACACGTTAAATATTAATCATCAATATCTGAGAATTTAGAAACAATTGGTAGGATTGGTTGTAGGAATTTGTAGGAATTTGTAGGATATATAGTGTGTAGAATTTTGATGTGAACCTCCTTTATCTTATTGGAGATACAGAACTTATAGGCTGATAACCAGGCCTTCTTCCAGTCAGAGTCCATAAAGATGTTATCCAAAAAGACTTTTCCTGGTAGATTTATCCTGCTCTTTTTGTAGAAAGGTTTACGTATATGTTTGTTGTTGCATTTTGTGTTCTAACATGTCAAAAGCTTTGAAGAAATAAAGAAATACAAAAACTGCAGGCTCTCCACAAGATCTGAGCAGTCAAGGAAATCTAAGATTAATCTGATGTTATCACTGAAGTTTCGGTTAGACATCAATCCATTCACTTATTAAGGGGAAATGCCATTTTTTTTTTCATTGGGCCCTTGATTTTACATTATTACATCATGTTCTACTCACCCATATGAGTTTTGTGTCATTTGGAGCTGTTCTGAAGATATTTGGTTAGATTATATCCAAGTAACGTTGTCCTATGGGCAACGATTTGAAGGCACAAACCAAACTGTTGATAATTTATCATTATGGTACGGTTGTTAACCGGTATCTGCTCCTTTGTGCAAGGAGGAGCAGGAGGAGCACTGCCAGAGCCCTACAAAATGACCTCCAGCAGGCCACTGGTTTGAATGTCTCTGACCAAACAACCAGAAACAGACTTCACAAGGGTGGCCTGAGGGCCCGACGTCTTCAAGTGGGCCCTGTGCTCACTGCCCGGCACTGTGGAGCTCGACTGGCATTTGCCACAGAACACCGGAATTGGCAAGTCTGCACTGGCGCCCTGTGCTTTTCAAAGATGAGAGCAGGTTCACCCTGAGCACATGTGACAGACGTGAAAGGGTCTGGAGAAGCCGTGGAGTTCAGCATGACCGGTTTGTTGGTGGGTCAGTGATGGTCTGGGGAGGCCTATACATGGAAGGACGCACAGACCTTTACAGATTAGACAACTACACCTTGACTGCCATTAGATATGGGGATGAAATCCTTGCACCCATTGTCAGACCCTATGCTGGTGCAGTGGGTCCTGGGTTCTTCCTGGTGCACGACAATGCCCGGCCTCATATGGAGTATGCAGGCAGTTCCTGGAGGATGAAGGAATTGATACCATTTATTAGCCCCCACGCTCGCCTGACCTAAATCCAATAGAACGCCTCTGGGACATGATGTTTCGATCCATCCGACGCCGCCAGGATGCACCTTAGACTGTCCAGGAGCTCAGTGATTCCCTGGTCCAGATCTGGGAGGAGATACCCCAGGATGCCCTCTGTCGTCTCATTAGGAGTATACCCCGACATTGTCAGGCATGCATACACGCATGTGGGGGCCATACAAATGACTGAATACCATTTTGAGTTGCTGCAATGAAATTGCAAAATGATGTGGCCTCCTTTTGTTCCTAACACATCACCCAGTCCATATTAGAATAAATAAACAGCATGAGTTTTTTCCCCCATTGAGAACTGATGTGTTTTCAAAGTGTTCCATTAATTTTTTTGAGCAGTGCATTTTAGAGAGGGAAATGATAAACGTAACACTGTTTGAGCTGTCAATTTATTAAGTTTACATGATTCTGAAAGACTTAATGAGTAGTACAAAATCACATGAATCAGTAAAACTTACCAAAGTAAATTGCCACAGTTTGATACTATGGGGAATGAAACAAAACAACAGCATCAAACCCCTTAAAAACATATTTTATATGCTTGATATATGATTCATATATTTAGAAAGTTAATCAATGATTTATTGCAAGCATTAAAATGAACATAAAGAAAAATATTTAAGACATGCATGACGTAATATGTCCCAAGGTATGAAAAAACTAAAATGGGACAATAGCTAAACGTAACAAAGCTTATAGAAGTACAAAGCAATACAGCCATATTTAATAAAGTAAAATAAAAGTTAGGATCAGGCTCATCCTCAGAATGAACAATACACTTTGAAAATAATCTTTTGTCATAATAACCTTATTCTCAAAAATTTTTAACACAGTTTTTAGAAGACCAACATGTTTTTTATAATTAACTCTTATTTATTTTTTAAACATATTTTCTTAGTCTCGCAGAGAAATAGATAATAATGAAAAGTTTTCAGTGAGTTTAACCATTGGTCTGTGTTTAATTTTTTTTTATAACTCATTTCACCCAGTGAAATGAGTTATAGCTAAAATAATTATTTTTGATGTTTTAGTTCATCATAACAAAATTTCACTAATGCCTTTAAATGAGATATTATTCTCAAAGATTTGATTGCAGAAGATCAAAATATCTTAATTCCATTGCTGCAAATTTTTACTTTATAAAAAAACTTTCTTTTTTCTTTTTATTTGTCATTTTAAAAGATCCTCTTCCTCCATGCATGGGAAAGTTTTCAGGTTTTCTCAGTTTTTTACCTGCTTTTCCAATGGCTTTCTGTTTTGAGGAAAAAAGAAAAACAAAAAACAAAACAAACAAAAAAAAAAATATTTAGCATTTATATATGCAACATTTTTCCAAAGATTAAACCAATTATGCATGAGCATTTAGGTACTCTGGAGCTAAACTCATATAAGATGCTACAAACAAAAAATAATTATTTTACCTCAGTCTTTTAAGAGTGTCCTTCACCCACTCATCCTTTGGATTTGCACAGATTTCATGGTTACTGGTGGTGTAGAAACTATGATAGACACATTTTAACATGAGATACTGTTGACTTTATTATACATGCGTAATCCATTGAGTTAACAAAAACTTTTATAAACAAAGTTATGAACAATAAATTAGTGACAGTAACTAATAAACAAAGGACTTTAGGGTAACAGACTGGAAGCAGAATTTCCTAAAACTATTTGTTTATCTATCTATTTATTACATTTTTTATTTAACCACTTTTTAGAATTAAACCATGATTTTCATTGATTGTAGTCATGTCACACCTAATCTAAAGCTATATTTACCAGAAAATGAATACAGGCACACAGTGTAACGGTTAATGGAGTAGACTCTTACATGATGGCATTGATGTGGCAGTTTTCCAGATTACTTTGCATCCTGTAGCCTCGAATGTGATGGAAATGGACCACTTTATTACTATAACTTGTACAGCAGTGTTTACTGAAGCGAATACCTACAAAGCAAAAGGTCACACACAAAGCATGTGGTCTGTATTTCAGTCTGAATTTCAGCTAAATCTGATGGTAGAAACTTTCCAGCAGACTCAGCTGGGCTCAGTACCCTAACTATGATGAAAAATGGGATGATGAAAACCATGATG